TCAGTCCCCCTGCCTCTCGGCGCTCCAAACTTCAACCACACATGTTCTGGCAAAATATAGCCTATAGACTTCCCTAGCGAGCTATCAAATAAGGAACTAATCTGACCTTTGTCGTAACAAAATATACGAGGTTAGAAATTGATTGCTTTGTTGGAACGCCGTAGGCACAGAGGCCGCGCCGATCGATAGACGATGTAAGATGATAGACGACTCACAACTTCAGGCAGACTCGCCGATTCTATAAACTGAAGGTCGCTGTTCCCAGTCTGGTACAGAGTCCCAAGGTCAACGTCAAATGCTGATAAGGCGAAGTGGGTGGCAGTGGTGGAAGGAGCTGTTCCAAGAACTTCCAGCTAGCAGGCAGAAAAAAAAAAAAAAAAAACATTTTAGGTGAATAGCAACCTTACTTTCACAAGCTTGTGAATGGATACCATTCACATACACACTCAAGGAAATTGGAAAAAGTCAAAACCAAAATTATTAAAGGTGAGAGTAGGAAAGATGATTCATTTGGAGGTTGAGACTGGACAACTGGTAGTGGAGGAAGAGTAGCAGGACTTACAAGGAAAATATTAATGACAAAGAAATTGCATGTCTATCATAGTGGATATGAAGGTTATTGAAACAGAACCAAATTGATTAAACTTCATAGTCACTGCTTATATACCACTTCATACATCAGTATGGTCCCAAAAATAATCCAAAAAATAAAATTTTGAGTCTTAAGGGACTCCTGCAGAAATGAAATCGAAATTTAAAGAAATATAGCTTTTAATCGGCCATTCTAATATTACAGATCCGAAACCGTAGCCTGATTCAGAGCAAAATTAATTGAAATCGTAAACATGACATACTAGGAAAGGATTATAAAGAGGCTGTCTATGCTGGGCCTAATATTCATAGGAAGTAAAGATGACAAATAGAACATTATTCTTTATTGGGAAGTACTGACCATATAGAAATAAGATTTACACATTCTCCTAGTGATTTATAAAATCTCAAGAAAGTTCCTTGAAGCCTAAGAAGTTTCAAAACTGAAGTAAGACCAGAAGGTTCAACCAAAAATGTAGACCGACAGCAAACTAATAGATTTTGTGGAAAAGCAGTATATGAAAGATACTGAGTGGGGACTTATAACGATTTTCAGGACTTAGGAGAGAGCTAGAAAGATTCCAAGGACAAAATGGATGCACTGTATGATAGACAAATTAATATAAGAATTAGTGGAAATACTTTACGTGTAAATATGTGGAGTACCAAAAGGATCAGTTTTGCACTATCGTAATTGTGTTTAGAATTTTCATTCGTGATCTGAGATCAGCTTCCAGAAGCACACACACCCAAAAAAGGGATAATAATACTGATAAAAAAATGTTCATCAAAAATAATTGTATTTGGAACATGGAGTCTAACACCATCAAATGCCATGTAGTCAGTGGGAATCTAACCCAGAGGATTACATAAATTGATTAAGTTCAGAGAATGCTATCACTAATCATATATATGAAGAGGGACTTTATGTATGTGATAAAAAACATCACAAGTACAAATACAATTCTAGAGATATCAGCTGTATGAAATTCCCAACTTCAAGAAAGACAATAATGAGGAATTAAGACAATGAAGAATTTCTTATTTTCAGTGAAAGAGGAACAGGTGGTCATAGTAAAAGGTTAAGAATAAAAAGTAGTGACATGGATATAAAATAAATGGTATATTCCCAAGAAGTTCCACTGATGAATCGAACATCCTTCCAGAAGATGACATAGATGTGTCCCCATGAGAACTCAGTTCTCTCCTGCATCTAAACAACTTGTTAAGAGCACACACACCAACTAATCAGAGGGACTAACCTGCACGTCGACAGAGGCGAGTGGCTGCACGGCGACCGTGACGGCGAAGGCGAGCGACGTCCCCGGGAGCACGGTGCTTGCGTTGACTCCGGTGATGCTGATGATGGCTATGTCTGACGGCGCATAGGTATAGCCGACGGTGGTGGGAGCGACAGTTGTCGTTGAGGTTGTGGGTTGTTGTGTTGAACTTGTTGTGGTTGTAGTTGTAACAGACTGGCTGGTTGTGCTCGTTGTCCTTGTTGTAGTGGCTGTGGTGGTGCTTACAGAGGTTATGGTTGTGAATTGTGTAGTTGAATTTCCAGATGGGTTGGTTGCTGGGAGCGTCGTTGTTCCAAGGGAATGAACTGTTGTAGGTGGTGTTGTGGTTGGTTGTGATGTGGGCGTTTGTGTTAAGGGCACTTGCGTAGTAGGTGGTTGCGTTGTGGCCTGCTGTGTAGTGGCTGGCTGCGTTGTGGCCTGCTGTGTAGTGGCTGGCTGCGTAGTTCCTGGCTGCGTAGTGGCTGGCTGCATTGTGGCCTGCTGCGTAGTGGCTGGCTGTGTTGTGGCTGGCTGCGTTGTGGCTGGCTGCGTTGTGGCTGGCTGTGTAGTGGCTGGCTGCGTTGTGGCTGGCTGCGTTGTCGCTGGCTGTGTACTGGCTGGTTGTGTTG